ATATACACCATAATGTGCACTCACCTTGAGATATAAACCATACTGTGTACTCACAGTGACATATACACCATACTGTGTACTCACAATGACATATACATCATACTGTGTACTCACAATGACATATATACCATAATATGTACTCACAATGACATATACACCATATTGTGTACTCAGTGACATATACACCATACTGTGTACTCACAATGACATATACACCATATTGTGTACTCAGTGACATATACACCATACTGTGTACTCACAGTGACATATACACCATACTGTGTACTCACAATGACATATAAACCATACTGTGTACTCACAATGACATATATACCATAATATGTACTCACAATGACATATACACCATACTGTGTACTCAGTGACATATACACCATACCATGTACTCACAATGACATATATACCATAATATGTACTCACAATGACATATACACCATATTGTGTACTCAGTGACATATACACCATACTGTGTACTCACAATGACATATACACCATATTGTGTACTCAGTGACATATACACCATACTATGTACTCACATTGGCATAAACACCATACTGTGTACTCAGAGTGACATATACACCATACTGTGTACTCAGAGTGACATATACACCATACTGTGTACTCACAGTGATATATACACCATACTGTGTACTCACAGTGACTTATACACCATATTGTGTACTCACATTGAGATATACATCATACTGTGTACTCACAGTGACATATACAAAATACTGTGTACTCACAGTGACATATACACCATACTGTGTACTCACATTGAGATATACATCATACTGTATACTCACAGTGACATATACAAAATACTGTGTACTCACATTGGCATAAACACCATACTGTGTACTCAGAGTGACATATACACCATACAGTGTACTCACAGTGACTTATACACCATATTGTGTACTCACATTGAGATATACATCATACTGTGTACTCACAGTGACATATACAAAATACTGTGTACTCACAGTGACATATACACCATATTGTGTACTCAGTGACATATACACCATACTATGTACTCACATTGGCATATACACCATACTGTGTATTCACAGTGACATATACACCATACAGTGTACTCACAGACTTATACATCATACTGTGTACTCACAATGACATATACACCATACTATGTACTCACATTGGCATGTACACCATACTGTGTATTCACAGTGACATATACACCATATTGTGTACTCAGTGACATATACACCATACTGTGTACTCAAAATGACAAATACATCATATTGTGTATTCACAGTGACATATACACCATACTGTGTACTCACAGACTTATACATCATACTGTGTACTCAGACTTATACATCATACTGTGTACTCACAGTGACATATACACCATACTGTGTACTCACAGTGACATATACACCATACTGTGTACTCACAGACTTATGCATCATACTGTGTACTCGCAGTGACATATACACCATACTGTGCACTCACCTTGGCATATACACCATACTGTGTACTCACAGACTTATACACCATACTGTGTACTCACAGACTTATACATCATACTGTGTACTCACAATGACATATACACCATACTGTGCACTCACCTTGACATATACACCATACTGTGTACTCACAGTGACATATACACCATACTGTGTACTCACAGACTTATACATCATACTGTGTACTCACAATGACATATACACCATACTGTGTACTCACAGTGACATATACACCATACTGTGCACTCACCTTGACATATACAGCATACTGAGTATTCACAGTGACATATACAAAATACTGTGTACTCACAGTGACATATACACCATACTGTGCACTCACCTTGACATATACATCATACTGTGTGCTCACAGTGACATAAACACCATACTGTGTACTCACAGACTTATACACCATACTGTGTACTCGCAGTGACATAAACACCATACTGTGTACTCACAGACTTATACATCATACTGTGTACTCACAGAGACTTATACATCATACTGTGTACTCACAGTGACATATACACCATACTGTGTACTCACAGTGACATATACACCATACTGTGCACTCAACTTGACATATACACCATACTGTGTACTCACAGACTTATACATCATACTGTGTACTCACAGTGACATATACACCATACTGTGTACTCACAGTGACATATACACCATACTGTGTACTCACATACTTATACATCATACTGTGTACTCGCAGTGACATATACACCATACTGTGTACTCACAATGACATATACACCATACTGTGTACTCACATGTGATATATACACCATACTGTGTACTCACAGTGACATATACAATATACTATGTACTCGCAGTGACATATACACCATACTGTGCAC